AAAGGGCAGAGAAGGTAATGATGCTGGTCTTTGCACACTGGATTTCTACACAGGTACGTTATATTTCTGCATGGTTCGTTGTGGATCTCAAGGCACTTCTTGCAGGCTCTGAGCTGCTGCACTGCATTCTTTTTCTCCTGTAGCTTTGTGGTAGTTCTAAACCTTCTGCAGATGTACAGTTTTTTCTTGTGCTTTGGGTCGCCACAGATGATGCACCCTGCTGGATCACTAAGGGATTTAACAGTCTTTGTGCGGGCATACTTTGTTGGGAACTTTACTTTTTCCTTGGCAGGGTCTATGTCTCTCAGCTGATCCAACTGCTCATAGATGAATTCTTGAGATTGGAGGTATTCAAGTAGCTTGTCAAACCGGTTCTTATGAGTAACAGCATGCCTTGGGTCAGCAGCATGGGTAAGCCAGTCTTTCTTCAGAGTCTCTGGTAATTTGCCTTCAATAGACTTTATTACCAATAGGTTTTTTATTGCATCTGCTTTACTTAGCTCACTCAGATCATAGAGGGCCTTTTCAACTGCTTGGATTAGCTCGATGATTCTTCTTGGCTGGTTACTACGAACAGCAGGGATAGCCTGTAGCTCTTCGATGATCTCGACTGCAATGGTGGCTTGATTCCCGTAACGGTTCTCGAGGACTCTGAAGATCTCATCTGTTGATGGGTATGTAGATAGACGCAGATCTCTGGCAATTCTCTCATCGAGGCTATCAAGCAGTTGGAACTTCTTCACCTCCACAGACCCGGTCGGTTCGCCTTGTCTTTGAAGAGCCTCCCATTCCTTTCTCCAGCGGTAGAACTCACGCTGGTTACCAGTGAACTTTGGTAGAGCTGTGGCTTTCAGTTTTATGGCTGCAACAGGGGCTGTGCTGTGGAGAGTGACAGATGCTTGGATGGAGTCCCTTTTCATTCTTTCTTCTCTGATCAGGGCAGCTTTCTTTGACACCAGCTTTGGAAGGAATGTCTCGAGCTCAGTTAATCGACGATCAAAGTCTCGCCTCTCAGCAGTAAGAGCCCAACGGTTCCATGACTGGTGTGCTTCTTTTGCTTTGCGCACCAAGTCTTCTAGATGAAGAAGCATAAAATCATATGCCTCCACTGGTGTGTCAGGCTGAATGGAGGAGACATTCTCAATCTCTACTTCTGCAGTTTTTAGGGCGAGTGTTAGTTCTCTCTCACCAAACAAGATCCATAATGTCTCTCTGATCAGGTGCTTTGTCTCCTTTAACTTGAGCTCACATTCTTTCTCAGTCTTCTCGAGGTCAGCTCTTTGCTGGTCGCTTAACTCATGTGTGCCTTCATCTTCACACTCTGCGATGTAAGCAGCCTCAAGCTCCTCATTCATAGCCATCACTTTGGAGCCCTCTACTGTGAGCTTCTTGAAGGCATCCTGTAGCTCCTCTACAGACATTTCCATGTGTGTCCTTGTTATTTGGTTGGTGAGTCTGGAGAAATGTCTTTTTGCTGTGGTTCGTTCTACTTTCAGTTCCTCAAGCAACTTTGACTCAGCCATGTTGCTTTGTTTGTTGTTGGGTTGACAGATGGCAGGTAAACGGTTCCCTCCAGGCCCCCAGATGGAGTCTTCTCCCTCTTTGTGGTGGGCTTTGGTGGAGTCTTCACTGGTCAGGGCCAATTTCCCACTGGCCAAGGCGGTTTTCACTGTCAAGTGTTTCTTCTTTCTGTGAGGCGTCTACACTTGAAAAGACCAGACTTTGGCTTCACTCAGATATGTCTTTATTTGATCAGTATCAGTATCAGCATCAGGTGAAAACCGATAGCCTGTCAAGATCAAAGTCCTCCTCACAGCTGAATTGTTTGCTTGCCATCTCAGTTTTGTCACACCCTGGTTGAATGACTGCTGCATGCATGAAGAAGCCACTAGTGGTGAGCTCTTGATTTCCTGATTTGGCTCACCTGGAGGAGCACACACCAGAGTTCACAAGCCCCCTCTGGCCAGTGTGAAGATTGCATGCAAAGCTCATGTGCAGACACTGTGCAGCAGAGTCAGCATAAGGAGGAGACAGTTGACCTCTGCCAGGTCAGCATGACAGTTACACCCAGCAGGGAGTAGCTCTACTATGCAAAAAAACACCTCAACATGTAAGCACGAACGTCACAGTTCACAACATGAGACCCGGTGGGGGTGGGGGGGCTGGGATCCTGGTGTCCTCAGCGGGAGCAGCCCGTGTGGCGCTCAGCCAACTGAATCCACAGGTGGGTGGGAGGTCATGGGAAAGCACAGAGCACATTGAACGCCTCCATTTTGATGACCTCGCTGCAGAGACCACAATCTGAAGGCGGGGGGCTGGGGGGTGGGTAGGGTTTTCACAGCATCTGTCTGCATTCCTTCCATCGTGGGGGTTGTTGCACACAACTCCAAGGCTGCTTATGGCGTCAGATTGGATAAAAGGACTTTGTTTGGGTCAGGCAGAGATAATTTTCCTCTCTGCCTTAAAGTCTGTATTGATCATTCAAGTCCTCCAGTGAAGCCAATTCGGTGATTAAACATCTCCACACCGTCCGGTGACACTCTCCGAGATGACATCCATTTTGCGCACAAACACCGGTAACGCAGCTAAGACGTTGTCCAGCTTGCTTGAGTAACCTCCCAGTCTGTGAGGTCTCCGCCCTGACGGTGCCGTCCATGGGTGCGGGTCGCCCTCCAATCGCTCCCGTCATCCCAATTTTTCGGAAAACCAGATATCCTCCCACTCCAATCAGAAGAAATCCAGTGATCATCAGGCCAAATATCCACACATCTTCGACGTCCTCAATGGACAGCTGAGAGAGACAGATGACATTCCGCT